GCAGTTTCTAAAAGGCAGTTATGGGTAGTTTCTATTGTTAATAGGTGTGTTGGTTTGTAATAGTTGTGTTGGTTAGTAAAAGTCATGTTGGTCTGTTCTCTATATATATTTAGTGAACACAAATATTCTTGTACAGTTTTTTACATCAATAAAAATTCTATTCTGCATACCAATCTGTTCTTCCTATCAGTTTTTTACAGAAAAAGATCTTAAACTAATAAGAAGTCATAATGAATTGGAAAATTAATTGTTTAGTGTCTCAATTTCTGGGTACTTAAGTATAGGTTGCACAGATTTAACAAAAATTTGAGCTGTGCAAGTTGCATGTATGTTACCTCATCCAAGAGAGGCATGTTTTCCTTCTGAGCCTTGTGGGTGTGTGAAAAGAATGCATAAGCTCTATCAGACAAAACCATCTCAAGCTGCACCAAAACCACTAACATTAATTTTAAAAAATTAAGTTTTAGAGCATAAAATCTTTTGGGGGTCTGAGCCATGTCAACCTAGAAGTTGCAAGTTCAATTTTCAGCAAGAGACAGGGAATGGACATGGAGGAGCCTTATGACACTCTTAAAATGAAACATAAGGGGCCCGTTTGGTAGCATAAGTGGTAGGAAAATATTTTTCTTTCTCCCATCAAGGGGAAAATGATTTCCACTTGCTTTCAAAGGAAAATTCCTACTCACTCCCCGCCCTCGCCCCCATCCGCCACCCCATGCCCCAACCACTCCCACCCTGCCCCTGCCCCCCTCTATCCCGTGCCAAAACTCCAACCTTATGCCACCAGACCCCATGCTGGTAAAATAATTTAAAATTATTTTTAAAATATATCTTTAAATATCAATTTGAAATCTAAAGAATTAAAAATGTTTTGTGAGAAAAACAAATTTCCTTCCTACCAAAAATAGAAAATGTGATGGAGGGAAAATAATTTTCTTTAGAAACCATTTTCCCCTTGGAAAATACTTTCCCCTTAACCAAACACACTCAAGGAGTAAATACTTTTTCTCACCTTTGGTTTTTTAATACCCAAGATAAGGCCACACTCTGATAA